ATTGTAGGACACTTGTTAATACACTATTGGTGAATAAGTGTGGATGATTTCATAAGTCCAGCCATCCGATGGTTCCATAGCAAAAAATTGTGTCTCTCTCCTTTTATCATCATCTAAATTCTGATATAATTTAGTATAAGAAATTTAACGGGTATATTCATAATAATTAGGTGAAATTGAATCAACCCTAATAATAATCTTTGCATTAATTAAATTACACATAGAACATATGATGTGGATAGTTTATTATTATTACTATTATTATTATTTTAGTATTTAAAATATTTAGTGACTTGGTGGACAAGATAGTTTGTAGGTTTTTTGGTGTCTTATTTAAAGACCCCTCTTCTTTGTTATTCAGTGGTTGATTATTGAATGAAAATAAGATTGTGAGTTTTATCGAGAGAGTATCTCGTAGCTTCCCTACATCAGTTGGTATCAGAAGTCAGCACGATTCAAGATGCCGCCGCGGAAGGACGACATCGACGGGACGTGATGCCACCATTGAGTATCCGGGTCGACAAGCCACGGGCTTTGGCTGCCAGATCAATCAATTGGATCGTCGGGTTGAGGATCTTTCAATGGGGATCGAAGAAGTGCGTCTTACGATCAATAACATGTTTGAAGATTTGCAGAAGACCGTGACGCCGACAACTGGGGCGTGCGCGGGGGAGTTCATGGAGGACGTGGAGGCCGTGGTCCAGGCGGGGCGCCCCGCCGGAGATCTCCACAACCACCGTCCAGTGACGAAGACGACAAGGAGACAATCTCGGAGGTGAACCCGTTCGGCGATTATCAACCTCCGAACGTCGAGGCTGAGCCCTTCGTTGCGTACTGCGGCCGTCATATGCGGCGACGGGGCTCGGTCTGCGTTGATGGCGACGATCAATGCAACGATAGAGGCAAGCGCGAGGATGCTGCCTTCGACGGCAGATATCGTGCTCGACACGATTGGGGACTTGATCGCGAATGTGGTCAATGGGAGGGCCCGTTTTGCGTTGACATCCCCGAATTCAACAGTGAGCAAGTTGACGGGCCATTGTACGATGGTCCACCGATTTTCGATGAGGAGCCTCTAGGGGTGGGAGAAGAATTGGATGGAAAACATTTTACCTATGATGGTGAGAAAAGCGTATTCACTGTGAGCCTGCTACCTCAGAACAAACTTGAATTTACCTTTGTGTTTGACAGTGTGACGTCTATTAAGAATAATGGAAATTCCAGCCTTGACAGTCTGCTTGTTCGTCCTTCTTTTTTTCCACGATGACCCACATAACTTTGCTGATGTTGGAGGTGGAGTTCTTGGAGGCCGAGGTTTTCATTCCAGCTTGAACATTGATGTATCCACGACTATTATTATCCAGCCTGAGCCTATAGATGAATTTTTGGTTGCTAATCAGAATGTAACAGATCCCTTTCCCGTTGACTGGGCTCCCACCTACCAGGAGCACAAAATCACTAGATTACGTGAGAAAAGTTGCAGAGACCAGATGTTCACACTACAGTGTGGTGAGCGACATCCAATCTTCGTGATCGATCAGGGGAAACCTGCTATTCTTGTCATGAGGACGTCTCCAACGGGAACGAGTCGGATTCGAGGGCGAATCATGTTCAACCGGGGGAGAATTGTGTAGAATGATTATTATTATTATTATTATTATTATTATTATTATTATTATTATTATTATTATTATTAGTGGTTAGCTTGGAGAATAAGCTAGGGTTTATTTTGAGAGTCTTATTTAAAGGGCCCTTCTGCTTTGTTATGAGATGGTGAATTTTGATAATAAATCTGATATTGTGAGTTTTTTGTGTTTTACGAGAGAGTATCTCGTTTATCCTTCCCATTCGTACGCTTCCCTACATCAGTTAACTGATGTAGGAAAGCTACGAGATACTCTCTCGATAAAACTCACAATCTTATTTTCATTCAATAATCAACCACCGAATAACAAAGAAGAGGGGTTTTTAAATAAGACACCAAAAACCCTACAAGCTATCTTGTCCACCAAGTCACTAAATATTTTGAATACTAAAATAATAATAATTGTAATAACAATAAACTATCCACATCATTCTTCCCCGGTTGAGCAGGATTCGCCCTCGAATCCGACCCGTTCTCGTTGGAGACGTCCCCATGACAGGAATAACCCGACGTTTCCCTCTATCGAACACGAAGATTGAATGATGTTGTGATCTACAGCCACAAAATACTCGGTTGCTCGAATGACACTTCTCCTTTTCTCAACTTGAGTTACTCGGCAAACCCAAACAAATACTTCTAAAGCCTTTGCCCTTTTTTGGATATTGGAGTTTGCACCATTGAACTGCTTCATAATATATAACTGCATATCAAACTCTTCTGCTTCAAATTTCTTAAATCCAGATGCAACACCACCTTCAAGGGGTATGAAACATGGATTAAAATATGTCAAATATTTGTTAGACTCGTGCCCGTGTAATTCTCTATACTGCCAAACACGGTCACCAAGAATCGCATCAAGTGCAATGATTTTGATAGCAACAACTCCAGCTTCATCCTCCGGCCCCGGAGGCTCCTTACCGAAAATCGGCGGACCATCGTACAATGACCCGTCATCTTGCTCACTATCGAATTCGGAGATGTCAACGCGAAACGGGCCCTCCCATTGACCATATTCGCGATCAAGTCCCAAATCGTGTCGGGCACAATATCCGCCGGCGAAGACAGCCTCCTTGCGCCTTCCTCTGACGTCGCGTTGATCGTCGCCGTCCACGAAGACCGGGCCCCGTCCCCGCATGTCACGATTGTCGTATGTAGCGAAGGGGTCAGCCTCGACGTGTGGGGGTGAATAATCACCGAAGGGATTCACCTCCGAAATTATCTCCTCGCCGTCTTCGTCACCAGACGGTGGTTGTGGAGATCTCCGGCGGGGCGCCCCGCCTCGACCACGGCCTCCACGTCCTCCGCGAATTCCCCCGCGCACGCCTCGGTTACCGGCGTCACAGTACGTTTGCTTGCCCCGAACCATGGTACGGATAGTTAGACGCATGTCCCCGATCTCCGCAGACAGATCTACAATCTCACGTCCCATCGTCTCGAGCTGGCGGCCAAACCACTCGGTCCGGCGGCCCAGGTTGTAGATGGTGGCGACACGCCTGTCGTTTGCGGCATCTTGTCTTCGCGACAGCATCGTGAATCGTGTTGACCTCTGATACCAACTGATGTAAGGAAAGCGTACGAATGGGAAGGATAAACGAGATACTCTCTCGTAAAACACACGAAACTCACAATATCAGATTTATTCTCAAAATTCATCATCTCATAGCAAAGCAGAATGGCCCTTTAAATAAGACCCTCAAAATAAACCCTAGCTTATTCTCCAAGCTAAACACTAATAATAATAATAATAATAATAATAATAATAATAATAATAATAATAATAATAATAATAATTCTGCACCAACATACAAGTCCAATTTTAGCCATTCTCCGTTTTTCTTGATCTACGACCCTACTTTTCTCTAGAATTTTCTTTCTTGTAATCTTTGATGATGTGTTTCTTTCTCCTGTTTCTCGTCCTTTCATAAAATCCAGTAATCTTTAATGATGTGTTTTTCTCTTATGTGTCTCTCTGTCCTTTCATAAAATATGTTGAGAAATCTATTTTCGTATGAGGGACATATAGTTGTACATAGAGATAGACCTACATTCTTAATTCTACTAATATTTCTCATATTTTAATGTAACTTATTGCTCAAGTCAAAAATCACAAATTAGACTCTTTAATATTAGAAAATTGATAATCCATTAAATTCATATTCACTTCGATTAAGTTTGACTATTAATTCAATTAAGTCGAACTAATTACATAATCCACATTAATAGAATAATATCAAATATTCTTACATTTATGGATCATATATGTTCTGTTTTTGATAATATTAGTGCTCAAAACTTTTATCATGCATCATTACAGTGTCATGTAAACATTAATCAAGTTTAGATTGTGGAATTTATATATTTGGTAACAAAAAAAAAATATATATAATTGCACCAAGCAAAACATAAAGCGAAGGCTCTTAAGAGTACAGAAATTGGAAATTTTATTAGATTGAGCAAACCTCATAAATGCATTCTGCTAAAAAAAGATTGAAATAATAAAACACACAACATTATAAAGTGGCACAACTCACACACGCTACTGTATCAAAACACAAACATGCAACAAATGAAAAAGGGAACAATCCGAATATTTAATTGAGCTTATTATTATTACTATAGATATTTTATCCATCCATTCTCTTCTTGCATGGATCCATCGCTTTTATTGTGCAAAAACCTCTTCATCTCTATCAACTTTTTTATTTCAGACATTCTCCTTAATTTCCTGCAACATTATTCACAACTTAATTAGCGACTGATCAAATAAGTTCGTATGTTTGTGCACTACAACTTTAAAGCATGTTTTTGTATGATAATAATGCAATGGAAAATGTGATCATTTTGGTAAATTATGATGAAAAGAAGTGATGTGAATATATTTATCTCTTACTTGGAAATTTGAAGTAGTTTGATGTCTTAGTAGTGATGATGAGGAGGAGGAGGAGAGGTGTAATAGTAAGGTTGTTGAGGAGGCTTCATCATTGGCGGTGAAGGTGGAGATTTGTGGACGTACGGTGGAGATTTTACGACAGGTGGTGGTGGAGATTTGTAGACGGGCGGTGGTGGAGATTTCTTAGGTGGTGGTGGTGGTGGAGATTTGTAGACTGGCGGCGGGGGAGATTTCGTTTGTCCGTGCAAAACGGTCTCAAAACATGTTGGCTTGTTTAATAATGTTCTGGTGCTACAAAATAATAATTGTTGAGTTAGCCAATTTAATATGTCCATTGACCATTTCTAGCGAAAATAATTTAAGTAAATGATCGCATTTGAAAAGAAAAAAAGCATTGGGTTAATTAGTTAGTGAGAGGAGTAAATTTACTATAGCTTACTTGGAAAGTTGAAGTAGCTTGATTTCTTAGTAGTGGTGAGGTGGAGGAGGAGAGTTGTAGTAGTAAGGGCGGTGTGGAGGGGACTTCTTGGCTGGCGGTGGAGGAGGTGGAGACTTCTTAGGTGGCGGTGGTGGTGACTTGTAAACGTATGGTGGGTGTTTGTGGATTGGCGATGGTGGTGGAGATTTCTTAGGTGGCGGTGGTGGGGGAGATTTTTTAGGTGGTGGTGGTGGTGGGGACTTATAAACTGGCGGTGGTGGAGATTTATGGACTGGCGGTGGCGGTGTAGACTTTTTTGGGGGTGGTGGGGACTTGTAAACGTAAGGTGGCGGCGGAGGAGAGGAATATTGGTAGGTTGCATTGGCTATTGTGGGGAAGCAAAGCGCAAGAATTGCTACTATGAGAGTGGCTATTAGAGGAGGAGCCATTTTGGAGGCCTTTGGCTTTGTACCCATGGTTTTTTTTGGTTGGTGTTTAAGTTGTGTTGTTTGCACTCAACTTTGGCCCCCTTTTATAGATTGGGTTTCACCTTTTTCATGCGATTAGGCACCGTTAACCCTCGTGTAAATTTGGAAATAACTATTTGTTTAACCCTTTGATTGGTTGTCATCATGTGTTTGGCACAATTTTGACTTTTGGACTAGAGAATGGTTTTGTGTAGTTGAGCTTGGCTGGCTTTTTGTTTCCTAGTGGCTGTGATAGAAATAAAATAAAGAAGACGCGTATATTTGTTGCTATTACTTTTATTTTTTATTTTTAAATATATTTGGTCTTTTTAATGCAATTATTCATTGTGGGAGAAGAAAAATATTAAAATTTTACCATTGCCTGTCTTTCTTAGTTGGTAAATCTTTTGTTATACCATCCTAATTTTAAGTCAGACATATTTTTTTCATAAGCATACATATTTTTATTAGAAAATTTAAAACAATTAACGTTAGCAGAAGTATAACATTTGATAGTATAAATATGTACTTTTGTTCATATAGTATAACGGGTCGACTCATCTAACCGATAGGCTGACTCATGCAAAATTTTCCTTTTATATGAATGAATCAGTGATACTAAAAATAGCTTTGGTAACGTGTGTGAAGAGACTTATTAAAATTTATGTAAATTTAGTTGAGGGGACCAGGCATCCTGTCTCCCTGAGTTGTTCATATTTTGCTGCAGTAAATGAGCAAAAACATCTATAAAAGAACACAAAGTTAGAGGAAAAAGTAGTTATAAAATAATACCTAATAAAATCTATTTTAATTCATGCAAGTATTTTCTTAATTAATGTAACTACTCAAAAGTACTTAGAAACATGTACAGTTTTAAGGCATAGATTAGTAATTATTGGGAACATTTACAATTTATAATTTACAATTTCTAAGAAGGCTAACCATTCTCTTCAGTTATATTTTTCTGATAAAAAATCTTACACTATTAAGTTTTATATGGCTTAGACGGGGAAAGTGCAACTTGTACGAAAGACTTCCCAGTAAATTTCCCCCAAATCATACTCCAAAGCACCATATCTGTTATAATTAAAAAAAAGAAAAAGAAAAAAGAAAAAACTACAGATATTTAGAATATATAAAAATGCATTCCATCATCTTTTGAAAAATGTGAAGTTCATAGTTTATTTAATTTAGATTTCAATAATTTATAATTTGTTTATATAGATTCCAACAATTTGCGATCCTATAATGTTAGACGTATAAAATAGCCGAGCTATTCCTGATAATCGAGCTCGAGGTCGAGTCTTTATCAACCAAGCCGAGAGATAAACAAACTCCAATACGAGCCGAGTTATAAAAATTATATGAACTTTTATATTTTTTGAACCTTAACAAATGGAGTTAACTGAAAGTTAACTGAACGCTTGATCAACTCGTTTCATCTAACAATTCTGAATGACATGCATTAATTAAATTATCCATTATTCACAAAAGGAAAGTGGATTGCTTTTTTCTTGGTACATATATATGCATACATCTTTTTATGTGATTAGTACCATCTTTTCTCTTTATTGCCAGAAACAATGTGTTTGTACATAGAAAAAAGAACTCTGGCTGATACCGTCTTAAGCGCTTTTGGTTCCATTTTTTAAATGCTTTCATACACTAACTAATAATGGAAATTATTTCCATTTTTTATCTATAACATTCTGTCAGATACAGGTATGCGTGTGATTAATTCGGTAATTATATTTATAACATTCGGTATANTCGGTGATTAGTTTTTATATCACCTAATTATGTTACACGCTACGACTTTTGGCTATTGGATTGGCCTAATTGTTTTAATTAATTTACGTAATAAGTCAAGTCACAATAATGCAAAATAGTATAAATTTATATGACAGAAACTGAGGGAAAACGGGTACGGGCCCTCTAAACATAAAGCGGGCCATGAATGAAGAAACGCCCATAAGAAGCCCATGAGATTCCATCTCCAAATCAATTGGTGGAATGAGAAGTAGTCTATTAGTCTTATAAGGTGGATCTATTTTCCATGTATGAACGATGTGAGACAACTCACAATTGATATTCTAACAATATATTAGATATCACATATGTGTGTATACTAATCACATGTGAATCAGTATAAGAAAATACTGAAGTCTCCTATGGACATGTTAATATATTGGAGTATACAGATGTTGAGTCATCTTAAATGTCTAAGAATATAATTAGTTAAAGAATTAGTTAGCTAAGAGATTAGTTAGGGGTTATTAGTCAGCTAAGAGAGAGAGAGTTATTTGCATATATTTTACTCACTTGTATATATTCACAGTTATCAAATACTAATACGTCATCTTCTTCATTCAATTCATGGCTTAGCTTATTAATTGCTTAACATAATATATGTCAACTCGCTGCGTCTAAATTTTTTTTAACAAAATAATTTATGAAATTGCATTGAGTCCTATGAATTCCGTGTCATATTTTATTAGAATTCTGTGAAATATCATGCAATGACATCTCTCAATTTATACGGGTTTCATTCTTTGTTAATATAATTTTAGTTTAGTGTTGACAAAAATTAATTATAGAAATATTGAAGCATATAACATAAAGTCATCGGTCACATCATATCATTGTTAATGAATTCATACGATCAAGGTACTTATTTTCTCTTAGCACATAGAACATATATACTACTATAATAATTTATAGAACAATAATATAAATGCGTAGTCTGAAATTCAAACATACCATACGACTTCTACAAATCAAAATCGAGTTAACTAATGAGTAGTTGAAAAATGATGTAAGAGGCTACGTTGTAAGAGAGTATTAATTAAACATATTCTTAGCTAGCTAAGATTAATTAGGTGAAGACCGAATCAGAGTTATCAACTTTGGGGACATTAAAAGATATAATCACCAAATTATTACCAAGTTAATTTATTATTACCAATCTTGGACACACAGCCTACAGTAAATATTTATTTGTGGAAACTTGATCCAATTATTTTCTTAACAAAGTACGGAGATGGCTGAATGTTCTTACTGTTTTTATTTTTCTTTTTGGAAAAAAAATTCAAAGTACCATCACTAGGTCAAGGTGTCGACACGGCCAATTGGAATATTCTCATCCCATATATTTTTTTATATCAAATTTGAAAAATGGTTACAGCCCGATTTGATGCTTGACCAATAGCTGATTCGATGGAATTGATTAATATTGAAGTACCAACTTATTAGATTAGATTATAAAAAACTCACATGTCATTGCTAATTGAATTGACTAATATCGGATAGCCAACTGAATTAACAATGTTGATCGATTCATGAGATTATTATACAAAATATTTGACAAATAATTAGATATAATTGCTACATAAAAAAATATTAAAATTTACAATCATCTAACCCAAAAGTTTCTTATATTGAGTGTTTTTCAAATTAACCTTTTGGATTTAGAAAGTTATTTCAATCAACTATTTACTAAACAATTAATTTGAAATTACAACTTATCAAACATCTAATTCACCTCAACCAAATCCGCACTAATTATCAAATTAATATGGTGTATATGTTTAAACAAGATATATGTATTGTGAATTTGTGTGTGATTTTTTCTCAGTTCCTTCAATCTCTTAATGTGAAATTGAGAAATCTCATCATCACTATACATACATACTTAAAATGCGCGGTTATTATTCCTATGAACAACTATAATTAGTAAACCACGCATATGCACTAGATGTGTATAAATAAAAAAAAAAAAAAAAATTGTAAAATAAAATATATCCAATATGGATATATATATTTAAATTATCAATACCCTGAAAATACGTACAGATAATATAAATTATAGAATGAACAGAAAGAGCCGAAAGAGAAGACCTTACACAAAATATTGCTTTGTTTAAAGATATACTAATTATTAGTTGTAAAGACAAATTTCAAACATTAGGATATATTTTTGTTCACCTTTCCCACGGAATGCAGCAAATTGGCTTTGACTAAAACCAGCAATTGCCATAACAAATTAAGCATCATTTACTTTAATAAAATAATAAGTTACACGTCAATTACTTTTACCGAAGATCAAGAGGTTTAATACACCAAATCTTCCTATATTATATTAAATTTGCGCGTTTCTCCCTGTATTTTAAAAATTGCGTCAGACCCCCTTCCATTAAGGTTTTGCATGTGCGAAACACCCTAAACCGTCTAAGATGACGGAAATAGTGTGCACTGCTGTGCGGCTTTTTCTTCATTTTTCAACTCCAAAATGGCAGAAATTACTGTTTTACCCTTGAATTATGTGCAAAAACTAAATATTATGAAATGTGAGCAACAAGATTTGAACCTAGGTTGGAAAGGAAGGGAATGGCCACTCAACCACTAAGCCATATGAATGGATGTATAATCTATTGAACATGAACATATCTATAAATCATACTGAAATGAATTAAATAGTTTAAAAATAAGTAAATAAATAAAATAAAAGGATAATATGTCAATTTACTATAAATTAAATAATTAATAATAATAATACTAATAACTTCCAATAAATTAAATTAACTTAAAATAATAAAAAAATTAAATTAAAATAAAGTAAGATAAAATTTAATGTATTAGCGTGGACTAAAATTAAATAAAGTCATAATTAAATAAATTTTAAATGAGAAAAATAAATACAAAAATGAAATTAATAAATAAATAAAATTAAAATAAACTAATTAAAGAAAAATAAAAATAATAATTATATAAGATAATAAAGTATAAAAATTATAATGTAAAATAAATAATAAATCAAATATCTTATTATGAAATAATAAATTAAATAAATAAAGAACTGAAATTAATATAATATAATATAATAAAAATAATGGCTTGAAAAAATGAAGACAGATCCGCACAGCACGCGCGTGCACACCATTGCGTCATCTTAGACGATAAACCTTAATAGAAGGGTATATGACGCAATTTTTAATCTAGAGGGGGTAAACGCGCAGATTTAGTATAATACAGGAGGGTTTGGTGCATTAAACCCTAATTTATTTATATTTATTTATATTTTATTTTAATTATTTTTTTTTCGTTTAACATAATAAGTTATTTAAATTATTTTTTTTGTTTAATTTTATATAATTTAGTTTATTATATTTGAATTATCATAACTTTATATTTTAATAATTTAATTTAATATAATTTATATATTCTAAATTTAATTTCACTTATCCATAACAATGTCCATATATATCAAACACTCCTAGTTCTAACACTCAACCTTGAGTGGTGTAGTGGTTGCATTGGTTGTCTTGCTTTCATGAGGTATCATGTTCGAATCCTAAGAGATGTAATTTTTTTTAATTCAATTTCTCGCGATATATTCAATATATCGCGATATATTGAATATATCGTAAATATATGTATAATATTCAGAGGGTATAACGGAACTTTTGAAGAAAAACTAACGCCGTTAACGGAGAAATAGAGACAAGGGAGCGTGTGCACCTGAAACCTTAATAGAAGGGGGTTAACGGAGAAATAAAGACAAGGGAGCGTGTGCACCTGAAACCTTAATAGAAGGGGGTCTGACGCAATTTTTAAAATACAAGGGAGAAACGTGCAGATTTAGTATAATACAGGGGGGTTTGGTGCATTAAACCCTAAATAAAGCTGTAACCACGAACGGTCGCGTGGGCCCGGACGGCAGCTCGACCCTGCGGCCGCCGAACAGGTCGAGGAAGAAGGCGGTGTTGTCGTGGCGGGAGACGAGCAGCCAACCGTGCTTGGAGCAGCGTATGGAGGCGCGTGGCGAGGAAGCCCGTGTGGTGGGGAAACTCCCACGTCCACTTGCTCCTACGGTTTTGCACGAGGCAGATCGAGTGGCGGAAGCGTGAGTTACGGTGGACAGTGTTCCACGGCCGGCACACCAGGCTGAACGCTCGTTTATCGTCGTCGTTCGACAGCTTCGATTGGATCAAATCAAGGAGCTCCGGAAGAAGTTCGTCCCAACCTGCTTCTTCCCATGCCTGCACTGCTATTGTAACCTACATGTATAAACTAAACTAAACTAATGGCATGATTGGTAGGAAGGAATGACATGGGAATGGAATGATCATTCCCTTACTCATTCCTTATCCCATGATTGGTATATTTTTTGGGAAGGAATGATCATTCCAATGGGAATGGCAAAACTCATCTTCATGGGATTAGTCATTCCATAGTAAATGGAAGGTTTTCTCATTCTCATGTGTGTCGGAATCAATTTTTTAAAAAATAGAATTAACAAATAATAATAAAAAATAAATATATATGACCGCGCTCGCAACACGGCAAATTTAAATTTATAATTTTTCCTTAACAAACCTCTACTAACTAGTAGTAGCGGCGAGTAAGGGTCGATCCCACGAGGAGTGGGAACTAAATCATGATAATTTTGTATCAGTTGAATTAAAACTAAGAAAACAATAAAAGGTGGGGGGATTGGTTTTATAAAAATAAAAATAAAAATAAGAAAATAAAATAAAAATCTAATAAAATAAGAGAAGTCCAGTTTTCGGTTCAGTTATCACCCAATCTAAATCTACCGTTAATTAATTTTGACGCTTTCTCTAGAATGCTAATGAATTACCAACCCTAGCTAACAACAAGCTCTGTTAACCGAATTTTCCCTTACCGAATATTTAATCGAAATAAGCTTTTCGACTAAACCTAACTAATGGACAACCTAGAATAAGCTCTCTAGATTTAGTTCACTAGCAGCATTAATTTCTAAGAAAATAGATCAGTCTAAGCAATGGACGCAAAAGCTCGGACCATTTAACTTATGCTCATGCTACCCTAGAGATGCACGACCCCTAGTTTACTACTAAGGGCTCGTTTACTTCTAGGGATGGGATTGGACACATTAATCTCATCTCCTTTCCACGTCAGCACAAAGCCCAATATTTACTTTTAAGTATAGATTTTAATGTAATCCTTATCATGTATTTACTATACATGATAACTTTATATGTTGTGGACTAAAAGACAAATATGTCCTCCCTCATCCAATACACATCTTCCTTCTCCAACCCATCGTTGCAGATTTTTTCTTCTCAATTTCAAGGATTGTACCCTAATCCCAATTTCAACCCATCGTCCCTCAACCAATACACATCTACCATTCCTTCTCCAACCCATCGTGTGAACAAGAGAGCGCCGCCGTCGACTCTGGAGCCAGATACCATTTCTGATATCATAATCAGAGAAAAGAATCCCAAGTGATATACAGAAATTAGGGAAAGTGATTTTGCATTGGGGAGAAATAGAACGGCTAAGATATGGAGGGAGAAAGGCAGAGTTTGAGAGCAAGGGTTTTGAAAAAAAAACAAATGAAATTAGGTTTTAGTGATGGCGAAAGTTTGGGGGAATTTTTGATTTAAATTTGGTAGCAATTGATAAATGGCAGGCTGAGGACAAAATGGGTATGTATTTGCTGGGATTAATTTATCTCGTGGGGGAGGCCGGATGGAGTTATCGACGAGTAAGGGATGAACAAGTGGGCCCCTCATGCCACATGGGCGCCAGGTAGTAACAAAATTGTCCAAATCCCTGTAAGTAAACATCGGATATCTCAGGACTAAATGCATTATCCTATCCTGTCCCCTAAAGTAAACGGGCCCTAACGAAACAAGACAATAACAATTACGGATTAAAGTCTCGAATCTAGCAATTAAACTATGAATATTTAACGTAGTTGGCCAGACTAAATCAAACACCATAATTCATAAACATTATAGACAGATAACATGAATCAACTCATCAACAAAAATAAATACGGCGTCTCGATTAATCAACGATGAATACAGATCATTTAATCCATAGACAGATTGAAATTAGGGTTCAAACATTTCCTCAAACTGGATAAAAAATCTAGCCTAACATGCTAATAGAAATAAATAAAACATAAAAGAGAAGAAAATAATATTCTCCCCTTACGTGCGAGTGCGGCTTCTGCGTTTCTTTTCTCTGTCGCGTAAAGAAAGAATGTCTCCTCGCCTCCTTTTCAATTAAAAATCCTTCCTCTGTGGCGTGAGTATCCTCCCAATTAATTCCAAAGTCCCAACAAATTAAAAATCCTACCCAATAAAAATGCTTGTTCCACAAATCTGCTCGCGTTTTTTTTTCTTCTGAATTAATGTGGCTTGCCAAATTGAAACTCCTCCTTAATTAATTTAGTAGCAGCCCATAAATCACAACTTTAGGCCCACCTAATTGCACCTCGCCCAATAACTTCTTTTTGGGCCTATTATCCAATATAATGAGCTTTATCCATTGACATCTCCGAGTTCTTCAAATTGCTGAAAATAAGTAATAAAATAATCAAAACAAAATAATCCATTCAAATAATAAATAAAACGAAAATTATAAATGTGCGAATAGATTAATTGTATAAAAATACACAATATAATATATAAAACGTGCACACTTTTCGACCTATCAATATAATATATATTATAAATCATGATTAAAATATATTAAATAAAATTATTTTAAAAAAAAAAGTCAAATAAAAAAATTGGAAACTTACTTTAATTTATTTTTTAACTAGATATATTAAATACTTATATAAAAATAAAACTAAAAAAAGCATTTATATATAATTTAAAAATATATTATTTTATTTTTATATATTATTAAAATATAATATTTTTATATATTAAAAAATATATTACTTTTAAAAATATATTATTAAAAAAATATTATTGAAAAATATTGAAAATATATTTTCAAAATATATTAATTTATTTTTAAAAATTATTAAAAATATATTATTTTAAAAAATAATATTCAAATAAAAAATTAAAAACTTACTTTATTTACTGTTTAATTAAAAAATAAAATATATATTATTAGAAATATATTACTATTTATTTTTAAATATTATTAAAATATATTATTTTTTATATATTAAAAATATATTACTTTTAAGAATACAATATTTTTTAATATAATTATAAAATATATTATTTATTTTTATATATTATTAAAACTATATTATTTTTTATATTATTAAACAATATATTATTCTATTTTTATATATTATTCAAAAAATATTATTAAAAATATATTATTTTATTTTTATATATTATTAAAAAAGCATTTATATATAATTTATTAAAAGTATCTTATTTTTTAAAAAAAGCTTTTATTTATTTCTATAATAAAAAATGATAATGTCACTCCATTCCAGTCATATTCCTCCTGCATACCAAACGCATCAATGACAAAACATGTTTCATTCCATTCTCATAATCATTCCATTCTTCAATTTATTTCATTCCTACGAAATTCCATTCCATCATACCAATCATGCCATAAGTGCGCAAACTATATATGGGGATTGATTGTGCATATATTTAATATAATAATTTTCCCTTGGCGGAAATAGGAAAATGACAAATAAAGCCGACCGATACACTTTCCTATATATTTTGAATTTTGTTAATTCGTTCTCCTTTACTTGATCGTTTCCTATATATATTTTGAATTTTCTTTATTTGTTCACTTTTACTTGATTGCGGGACATTTTTTCACATCAAACCATAGTTTTTTTATTCGGACCGGCCCGGCGGGTCAACTCGGGACCCAGTTGACCCGGAGCCGGAACCGGTCCCGGCCTTGACCCAGCCGGGTTGACCCAGTTGACCCGGCCCTTTTATATTTTTTTTAAACTTTTTTTGTCTTTTAAAAATGCAACTATGGATATATGTTTATATGGTAAATATTTATCATGAGATACATATTATTAACACTTTAATGTACAAATTTTATGCACAAAACATTAATTTTGTAACTTTTATGTATATTTATATGACAAAAATACTCTATATAATTTTAGAATTTTTAAAATTAATTATCCGGTTCAGCAATTGACTTGGTGACCTGACGGTTGAACCGGTGACTCGGAGACCTGTCAGGGTCGATTACCGGGCCGGGTTTAAAAACTATGCATCAAATTTGTTTAATAAATAAGATGATGAGTTATTATACTAATAAACTGTATGGATTTATTATAGGAAACGAACGGGACAGATATTATTATTATTATTATTATTATTATTATTATTATTATTTTTGTTGTTGTTGTTGTTGTTGTTGTTGTTGTTGTTGTTGTTGTTGTTATTATTAGGATAATCTATAACAAAACCAATATTTTGAATTTACATGTAAAAAAATGATTGAACTTTCCTATTTTCCTCGTTTCAAAACTGCAACTATATATATAGGAAATATGGGTTATTCCAAAAAAAATTTATTTTCATATTTACCTGATTATATAATTAGGGACTTTCTCACTTTGGCATATAATTGACTTATTAGTATATAATTAATCGATTTGTCTACAGTCACGGAATGATTCCGTGAGTGTCGATCCGGCTATGAAACTCCTTCTGTTACTTGATTCAGGTAGCAACTGAACTTAGGGATTAACTGATTTAGAAGTTTTCCTAGCCTCAATTACATCGACCCTACGGCTACCTTTTCCAAAACCTTAGATTCTTTTCTTGAGGAGGTTCGATGTAATGGAGGATTCCACTGTCAAGCTTTTTCTTAATAACCATGATAGAGGGTGGTCGTAGATCAGAATGTGCCTATTTTGAAGCACTGGCTAACCAAAAGCACTAAGATTTGGAAAAAGCCAAGGAAATTGAGGAACAAGAAAACGGATCGGTTAGAGTATCCAAAACAGAGGCGCCATCCACGCATTCGTGAGAGCGCACAATACTCTTTATTCTATGATGGGAAAATCCCCCAGCTAAAGATCACTGGCCATCTCACGAATTGGATTTGAACCAATATCAAGCGACTTTCCTTTTACTTCGTATGTAATGGAGCAAGCCTCTTGTATAGCATATTGTGCCTATTTGTCAGTACTAGTAGTAGTAGAGCAAGGGCCTATTTGAAAGCTTCTTTTTCTCATTTCTTTTACCGGTGATACCGATACATACATTGGGACTCCTACTGGTGAGCCACCTTTCTGAGTTATTCCAGCTTCTTCATGATTTAGTGCCACGGTGAACAAACAAAACAAAAAAAACCTTAGTTGATTCCGTGAGAGGAAACCATTCTTGAGCAGGTGCCCTCGATCCATAATAGGACTGTGAACCATAGGCAAATGGGGCTCTCGGACCGTGGAACCGCGGAGGAAGCTTTTTCCCCCAAATAGTTGGAGAAAGAATCAAAAAAGAAAGAGTAGGGGCATAGTTCTCAATTACATCGACCCTATGGAGTTGCTTTATATGGTTGTGCGGCAGGAAGGCCTGACTGTAACTCTATTTTTTCTGATATGGATTTTCATTCTCTCTTTTTTGCATCCCCCCTTTCTTCGATTGAGTCATCGTCCGGCCGAGAAAGAAAGGGCTTTTTAGAAAGTGGAGGAAAGAATAAGACGTCTATCCCTTGAATGCTCCCAACACTCCATTCTAGTCTCAAGATCGAACGATAAGGAGGAAGTAGTAACCGACCCAGAACGAAGTACTTTGATCTCTTTAGTTCAGTAAATGCTTTCGTATGAAGCTTGAGTCAAGTCTAGTCTCATGCAGTGAAGATCGTCAAGCAATCATAACTGTATATCTGATGGCTAAAATCCCTCAAGGAATCATTCCGGGACAGTAGACAAATCCATAATTATATATATATGATCTCGATTTCTCACCTTCTCTTTGTTTGGGTTTGGCTTTCGGTCGATCACTAAGGTAAAACTTTGTACTTTGTTCATCTCATATACCATAATTATCTATCAATTTTGCATTTTGAAGTTACAGACATTATCGGTTGGATATGGGTATACGCTTATTGGTTCTGTTACCGAACCGATACCACTCTTAGTTGGACCTATGGTGTCTTGGACCTCTCTTACGACATGACAATCCCAAGTATCTACATGACTATATACATCTGAACTTGATCACTACTAATCCCTTTGCAACGTGAATAAAAATCGACAAAGTAAACTAGTAAGGCAACCGACCAAATAGTCCCATCATCAAAAGTATAGTTGTCAAAACGGGCCGACGGGGTAGGCCGGCCTGTTGCCGGCCAAAACCCGTAGGGTGGGGTGGGCTGGCCCGCCATCCTGGCGGCCTATGAAATGCATGCTCAACCCGCCCCCACCTCCAGCTGCGGGTTTGGCAGGCCAGGCTCTCCAATTTCTTATAGGCTAAGTTTGGATTGAAAGATTTACTGAGGGATTTGAAATCCATAGATTTCAAATTTACAAGTTCAAATCCTCATGCATGTTAGGATGTTATGGAATTTGAAAGATTTCAAATTCATGCTAGATGTTTTTTAGTCATTATTCTAAAGGATTTTAAATTACTCCTCATACCTAGTCATTTGAAATCCACTATTGACGACCACCCCGTCCACGATCATTTAGATTTATCACCACCGCGAATCAACACTCGGTGCGAGCTAGACAATTGATTTATAATATTTTCAACGCATTCATTCATAGAGTGTGCAAGTAAAAAAAAATTATATTTCAAAAATTTTGAAATCAAGGGATTTCAAATCCCTCAAAACAAACGAAGCCTTATTTTTTTATTTTTTTATTTTCAGAAAATTGATTAGCAAAATTGGTGAACAGCACAACCTGCTCCAAATTTATTACCAAGCAATAGAAGTCGCATACCATCACCANATTGTCTCTAGATAAAATATTTTGTCGATCTCTTCATACAATATGGCAATCCACATTTTGGCTACTATGTTTTAATTTTGTTAACGAGTTTCGGTTATTTGTTCGATAAGACTCGAAAAGATAATTTTTTTATATTTTTTTTATATTTCGGCCCTAGTTCGAAGCTGAACACGAGTTCGGCTCGGCTCAGCTCCTTTAAATGTCTCGACTATGTGGAGATTGGATGAGTTGTAACCTACATGTATAAACTAAACTAAATTAAATTACTCAGGTTAATTGTGCAAACAATATATGGGGATTGATTGTGCGTATATTTAATATTTTCCCTTCGTAAAATAGGAAGAACAATACCAAAATTTTGCATTTAAATGCAGTAAAAGATGATTATTTAAAGCCATCGATCCACTTTCTATATATTTTGAATTTTCCTTCCTACCCTATATATACTAGTACGAATCCTGTGCGATGCACGGGGTGGACAGTTTTAAGGCTATTTACCCAACCTTATTATCATATTCGTGAATAAAGAAAATTTAATAAATAGAATAAAAAATAATATTATATATGATTAAAAACCACCATACCTATTTGCAGGATGAAGTGCACTTTTAATATCAATATCTAACAAAGAATAAAAATCAATAAAATAAGATAAATTGATTAATATCCATTATCCATTGTAAGATATTAAATATTTGTCAGTTGATTGACTACAATTTACTTGTTACGTCACCAAGCGGAGTACGTTAAAAAGTATGAAGGGTAGAGTGTGATTTCGCCGTGTTAGCATTAGGCAGTGATTGGGTAGCAGGAATATCTAACAAAAAAGAAAAAATATCTCAAACATACTTTTTTTTTTTCGGAACGATAGATATTTTATATAAAAACGCACAATTGTGCAAAAGAGCAGCCCTCAGCTGGATACAAACAGCCAACAGCTGAATAAAACCACCCAACAACTGCAAAAAATGGGAGGACATGTCAAAAGACCGCCTAGAGCCCGACCCCAACAGGGTAATATACGGGACACACAAAAAACACAAAACAACACTAAAATCGGCCCCAACAGGGTAATGCCCGAGTGTACGGTCCCAACGGGATAATAAAGTCACACTCGGGGTAACCGAGACCAAATGGCCCAAACCTAAAACACGAATACGAACACCAACACAGACAAACACAAAACAGAAAAAAAATACATGCCTAAACAACACAAACACAGCAACAAAAAGCACAAAAACATAAAAAAACACACAAGCCCTTCCACAGAGGCAACACCGAGATGAACTAGCAGACACCAACTCGACCCCAGAAGAATCCCGCAGCCCGAGAAAGCCGACCCCTCCACTGCCGAACCGCCTAGCTGAGCCGAATCCCAAACTTCAAAATACCCCACAAGGTCAAATCTCCCCGTAGCCAGAAACTCCAAAAATTCGCCCAAATGCCACAGCACCAAGTCGACTAACACCACTAGCAACTTGATTCCGCCGGCAATCCCCTCGGAACACAGCTCTAGAGAATCGGGGAGAGGAAGCAAACCCAGAGAGCTGCAGCCCTAGCCATTCCGGCCCAAGGCCGCGAGCCGCCGTGGCCGCACCCGACCCCTTCCCATCGAGACTGCACCTCGCCCATTCCCACCTCAACACTACAGTGCTCGTCGATCGAGACCCGGAGCAAAACCCACCGGAGCAGGTGAAACAGATCCGGCCGAACGCCACCATAGGAGCGGCAAGACCAGGGAAATCGCAACCACCGGGAAAGGGCCGAGTGGCCAGGGAACGACTACCGGATTATCTCGGAGGCCGTGAGGAAGACGACGGAAATTGGAAGAGGGCGACGCCGGAGAGAAGATGGAGGCGGAGAGAAATTAGGGTAGAAAGGCAACTTTTTATCAAAATCTCCATACTCTCATTCAAACATACTTCACATGTCAAAATAAACAACTCATTTTTAGATTATTACACTATTACAAATTTCATAAATAATAAAACATTTAAATNAGATGCCTTGTCCATAACTTAAGGGTCTGTACATTAAAAACGGCCCGCATCATATGATTTAGAGTCCAGAAAAATATCAATCCACTTACCAAACCTTTCATCGAACGGTCAAAAAAAGTCAAACAAAAATGAACAACTCGAATTTAATGTCAAAGTAGTATATAACAATGACTCGGATCATTTAGAGGGTTTCATCCACTTTCCATTTCTCCGCCGCATCTCACCCAAAGTCAGCCATTTTGTTCTTATGTCCGAAATTTGCTATTTCGATCGAAAATTTCCAAAAAAAATAAAGTTTACTTTCTAAAAAACAACTTGTAATCACATGTAAGTTGGGCTATTTTTTATTTTTAATCAGTCACCGTCAATTTCGATTCTCATAGTTTACAAAAATCGTTTTTGCAAAACTATGATTTACGAAACCGATCTATGATGTAATTTAGCCTCGGATATTACCGACCGGCGGTCGATGGCCATGACCGAGTTCTTTGTGTCGATAATCTCCGAGCACACCGAGCGATGGTCTCCCGCGGGCAACAGGAAGAGGTCTTCCATTGCCGTCATCTGCTCGTAATCGAAAAGTGAGGTCGGAGGGTGTAGAGTGCTTGCTTTAGCTGTTGGGTCCCACCTCCAGTCGCACACCTTCTCTTTCTCCCTTCAGCCGCCCCTTCAATGACAGGTAATTTCATGTTTTAAAGTTTTATTTTCATATGTCGCGATTCGAGTTTCCGATTTGAATTTAATTCTGAGTCAATTAGCTTGATATGTTTCTATAATAGTTCGATTGTATATAATGAAATTGAGATTTTTTTGGGTACTAATTTTTGCATTTTTTTTATTTTTTTGGATTTTCATATTTTGTTACTAAGTCAGCAACCGATTTCAAGAACCAGAGGAGATTCGACGGCTACGAATGAAGTTCCACCAGTAGATGGCAACTCCAGACCAACGCTCTTTGCAACTCGGGGCATTGTATCCCTCATCTTCGTTTCCAATTCAAGTAAGCTAAAAACTGTTACATTTTGATGTTTATTTTGTGTACTTAAGTTTTCGGCTATTTTTTCTGTAGATCTTTACAAATTTGATAGATTAAAGAATATAAATCTATATTTTATATTGTTTAAAATGTGCTAATTATTTAATCTTTGTTAGCATAAGCTGTTCTTCCTCGCTAATTGTACATTTGTATTTCTGTTTTATTTAATTTTCAACTCATCTTGTAAGTAGTTAGAATATAGAAAAATGAATTTGCACATGGTTGTGCACTTTTGCAAAGAGAAGGTTAAGTCAAACTGTTAGCTGATGGATAATTTTATTTGGTTGCTACTCTTTGTTTCTGTAAAAGTGCAATGTCTAATTTCATGTGTCTATTGATGGGGCAGGTTTCAGTGATGTTCTTATCATGGATTCAACAAATATTCTATCAATTATATTACTTGTCTTTCTCTGTCGTTCCATATTGTCAGTTTTCAGTCTCTTAAGTTTTTCAGTGTACCAGAAGTTGTATGGTGAAGTTACACTTTTGTACTACCATTAGTCTGTTTTTGTTGGCTGCAGGCTTTCAGTCTGTTCTTCATTATATTAGGCATTGAATTCGATTACGGTGCTAACATATTAAAATCAATTTAATTTTATTGCAGATGTTTAAGGTAGACTTAACATGACCTCGTTGGTTTTCATCTAGTGCCAAGAAGCAAATCAAAAGAATCCTCGACCATCAGTATGAACACCCATCCTTGCCTATTAAGGAAAAGCCCCATATAATTACCTATTGCTACTTGAAGAAATGAAAGAGATTCATATAATAAAGGTACAATCTTATTTCTTATGCTACCATACCATGAACTATATATATATATCAACTTCAGTTTCAAATTTAGATAAACTTTATTTAAAGATATTTATTAAGGAAGTTCATAAATCTGTTTACAATATCTTATCAAGGAAGATAGTGCAGCATGGTGTAATAGCTAAGGATGATTCCGACTTGAAAAACTACTTGACAGACAAGTTAAATTCTATCAGAACCAATATAATCTGTTTGATATTGTGATATGTTTATAGCATTCTCATAATAAATTATTCTTACCATTTTTTGTAAATGGAGAAGAAGCAAGATACGAAATAAAAGTGATAATTTAACCACTACAAATGTATGTGCAATCATAAGTAATCTTAAGACAGTTGTATCCTCATATCATTCTAATATAATAAATAAAAAACAATAATTAATTGTTGTAGAATTAACTTGCACTGGATTTTCACTATTTGCTGATTTCCTCTTCTTCATGTTCGTTGTGATTCTGTCCTTGTGATCTATGTCCTTACAGTCATTGTCCATTGCACGCTATCAAATTGATCTTTGAAATTGTCACCTGCTGAAAATTGTTTTTACAAAGTAATGTCAAAGGACATCCATTATACACTACCTATAAAAAAATGTTTTATTGCAACATACAAAGTAAATTCGGGAGGTCACCCTTGAACCTAACCAAATTTGTCATACCGTGGATAACAATTTTATAATAAAAAACAATGAGTCGAAAGGAATCATAGTTGTTCTCCACTGGTATTTGTTGATCCCATAAACTTCTCCTTCCTTGATTTTATCCATCCATTTCCTCATATGGGAGGCTCGTAGGATTCCAGTTATATGACGTCCCTATAATCAAAAAGTAAATAAACTAAGTATAAATACATAAATTAATTAATTTATAACAATACTATAAATTTAAAAAAAAAATGAATCAATCTAACCTCTTCGCCTTGAAAAAGAATTTGAACGAAGATCTTGTACCCAGACTCGATGTGTTTGAAATAACCAAATTCGCACTTCATTTTTTTTGTTGAATATTAACCGTACTAAAAAGCCAAACTCGATAATAGCACGAGTGGACAACTTAAAAAAATCTCCTAGATTTATAGGAGAAGACCTACGTACATTTTAGTCATTCCATAAAAATTGATATGGAAATATATTATAATAGGCAATAAAATGCGTATAATTGAAATATTATTACATTTGATATCAAAAATATAATCATGACACAATTGGTTAATTGTTCATTTGACAGTTTTTGATTGAAAAATCCGTGGGTGGGATTTGGCTGATTTTATCAATCAATATCTATATTTACCACACGTTTAGGATATTATTCAGATTGCCAAATCAATTTTGTATTTATACTAATTCGCCCGTTTTTTTTTTTTTTGTTATTTTATATATGTAAGTAAATCACGTTTTTCTAAATGTTTGATTTGATATCAAAATTGTAATCATGTCATAATTGGAGCATTGTCTATTTGGCAATTATTGATTGAATAATCCATGGTTGACAACATCTAGTTTTATCTATTTTCAAATATCAGCCAATAATAATATTTGATATTATAATAGTAGTCAATTTAATTGATTCAAGACAATTTGTTTGAAATTCTGAATCACACGTGTAAATACTTGTCAAATCATTTTGTTTTTTATATTATTCAACACATTTTTTATTTTTTAATATATGTAAATAATTCACACATTTTTTAAAGGTATGATATAATCTAATTTTAAATCGTTTGTAAATAACTGCAGAATTTGCAAAACAAATAATTACATACAAAAGCATTCAATAATTAAGGTCTTCTTAAATAAATATTTTAAGATTTAATTGTGAATAAATATTATTGATTTTGATGCTATACACTTTCGAATGGTTGTTTGAATAGAAACACTATTTTTTTATTTTTTTTTTGTAATAAATCACGTATCATTTAATTGTGATTTAATATTGCAGATTTAGTTGATCTACATTTGGAAATGAAATTTCAAGGATCAAGATGATATATTGTTTTGATTCGAGCAGATCATCCCGTCAGCAAATTACATTTATTTTGTACAATTTTTTTCTTAAATGCGCAATGTTTTACCCGAATTTATTTTATTCAGATTTTATTTACTTTTTTAATTCGTGTATCACACAATTAGATTTGTAACAACATATTACACACAATTAAGGTGATATTAAGTCAGCCGCAATGTTTGGCCGACTTTATTTTGTACATATTTTCTTTCCCTTTTTTACTTCGTATTACGCACAAATCAAACAAATACTGCCGCATTGTTTGACCAATCTATATATTGTATAGATTTTGTTGACTTTGTTACTTCAAAATTCAAAATATGACCGCCCATTATCAAAAGAACGAAATTAAAGAAGCGGAAAAATGGTAAAATAGAGGCGGGAACTGAAACCATTTTTTCAAAGTTTTTCAAATAATATTTCTTCTCCGTATTATATAGTAATATATACTTCAAGAGAGAAGATGCATGATTAGTGTGGGAGGTGTATATATAAGCATGGAAATAATATTATTCATTTATTCTTTACCAATATTAATAATCATAATTGTTGGTTTACAGTTGTTAACCAAAACGAGCTCGTTGAAGGTATAAGCTCGACTTGGGCCTTTGATAACGAACTATTACGTAACCCCGTGCAATGCACTGACTGTATTTATTTTGATAAAATTTATAATTAAAGGTTATTAATCAATAAGTTATAATACGTAGAACATTTGTCATGTAATAATAAAATGTTCATCACGAAAAATTCATGTCAGTGATCGTATCTAATATATCTTCGAGTGATGTAATTTAATTGATGTAAATAAAAATTATAATAATCATAATAATAAGTTGGTGATCTTTGCATCCCAAGTGTTGGTGCAGGAATATGGTAAAGAATAATAATAAACCTCCCCTGCTATTGGCTCCACATTACAAGGTACAGTCTTTCTACAGCGTGTTGAGCCGCACCGCATCCATTCCGGTCCTCTGCGACAAGGTGGCCCTCGGTTGGGACCACGGCTGGCTCGTCCTCGTGGACAGCAAAAAAAAAGACTACTGCCTCTGGAACCCACGATTAATGGACCACTGGGCCTTATACACCAATTGTGTCCTGTCCGGGCCCCCAACCGAGCCTGGATGCCACATCTTGTTCAATGGACCAGGCCACATGAAGCAGTCCTTCTGCAAGATTGGAGACCGCATCACAAAATGAAAGGAATTGACCGGCTCACGGGGTTCGGGTGCGCCCCATTTTAGGTTTGTGTCGGTCCATTTTGTCAGGAAAACTCTCGATTGCTCGGTACCTCTCGAGAAACGTAACTGGATCACGTGGTACGAGAATTACATCATGGAGTCGCCACTCCTTGCAGCCGGCGAGCTCCTGTTGGTGACTCGATTGAAGCTATATCGAAAACGTGCGGTTGGAGTTCAGGGTTTTTCGAATGAAGGTGGGGCGGGCGGAGTGTGAGGAGCTAGACGGCATAGGCGAGCACACCATTTTCTCGAGTCACCATGGTAATGGCTACTCAACGGGCACGCTTCTTCAGCCCAACTCTATCTATTACACCGACATGACACGCATGATTATTTATGTCTATGATTTGGAAATGGGCAGTATACGTACCAACCCTTTGCCCACGCCTAATGCTGGCATAGCAGTTAACAATTGGGTCGGCCCAACTGATATTTTGGAACCGCTCGACTTATGACTTTTGAGGTACAAATATTTGGTTAATACATTCCTGGGCAAGTGTGTTGCAGTCAAAAGAAACAAAACTACGTAAGAGTGCATGCGGTTCTTGTTTTTCTCATCAATTTTCACCTCTCTTCTTCACGGAAGTGTTTCTTTAAAAACAAATGTTTATACTCTTGATCTTGTACAACAAGATAGCAAAGGTGCCAACAACAAAAGAGTGGTTAAGTATATGATCTGTTGGCCATAGCACGATCACAAACGATACTAACAATCTGTTGCTCATAGCACGATCATATACGGTACTAACAATCTGAATGCATCTTCAAGAAATGGTAAAAGACGAACCCTTCTTTACAAGGTAAGGGCAGGCATAAATAACCAACTTTACAAGTCCAACGTGACATAAGTAAAAAACAAAGTTCTCAAGCAACAAATACTTAAATTTAGCTGCAGCATAAACAGAACAAACATCAACCAGCATAATTCATTTGGCACAACACGAATGANGAGATACCTCCACAAAACACCAATTTTTTTCTTTTCTGGCACAGCACGAATGCTTTTGGTATTTTTTTCCACACGGGGGATTGGGATCAAAGCCGAGATTGTGGACATTATCATGCTCCACTGCAATTTTACATATCTACACAATGTTCAGAATAAATTTCTACAGCCTTAAGGCACAAGAAGAACTCTAAACACTAGTCGGTGCACGCACGAAAAGCAGAATGATTACTTCACAAAATTGGAACAAATAAAGAATGTTTTCAGTTGAATATTCTGATTTGCTTTAAGATGCCTTCACATGGCATCGGAATTTAGAAAAATTATATAAGCACATTGAACATATAATAATTAGCAATTACCATAATCAGGCCAAAAAAAGAAAAACTCTTATCCTTTTCCATTCAAGAAATCTCCTATTGAGGCGGTATCTCTTCGATTTCCTGAGCGAATTTCGCCGATGACCTCGGCGGCGGAGACTAATCGATTGGCGGAGTGGAAGAGCCTTCCGCCGCCCTGGATTATGGTATTAGCGTCAACCACCGCCACCGCAATTCTTTTCGATGATTTGAAGCTGCCCACCAGCACGACGCCGTTTTGAGAGGAGGGATGGGGTCGATTCTGTGGTACGGCTGCGGCTTCTTCTCTCAGTTCGCATTCTCCTTCGCTGGCTAGGGCTTCTGATGTTCGAAAGAAAGACAAATGCAAAACGACGGCGTTCTATAGGGGGTCTTCTTTTTAAGAATGGGTATATTGGACATTTTATCAATCTGCTCTAAAGTGCCTGATATGGCATCGGGCGCAAATTAGGAAAAATAAACGGGCTCATTCTGAACCAAACAAATTAAACTCCTAACTTGCAGGACATCATGTCTAATATGGCAACCAAACGCAGCCTTAGAGTAATGTTATTCCTTTTATCCTTTGTTTATTTATTCATTGATTGATGTTACAAGCTAGTGCTAGCATGATCCAGTTTATGAGATTTCATTTATATATTGTGTTTGCTTTCTCAGACAGCACCAATATATTTAACTTGATTATTGCACCTGAAGGGACTTTTAGCTAATTATTCTGATATCTAACAACTAAAAGGATTGAAAATAAGGTTTTTTTTTTCAAAAATAAAAAATTGTCTCGTCCAAAATGGTAGTGTCAAAAAATAGAAAATAAAAAATAAGATAAATTTAAAATTATGAATGAATACATTATAATTATTTAATTATTAAACTTAATATGATATAATAAAAAATATTAAATGATAATCAGAAATACATGAGTTGAGAAATAGTGTTTTTTGTCCATAATATATAATAATAATAATAATGATAATAATTTTCTTTTCAATTGTGAAATTTTTATTTCATGTTGACTTCTACTTGAATATATCTTGACTAAACAAAACAAAAATGATAAACGAAAATAAGAAAATCGTATATCCAATAATCTCAATCTCAACTAAAAGTGCCTCGAGAGAGGTCGGTTCATGGACCATAAATTTAGTTGTTGTGGAAGTGAAAATGTTTCTGAAATTCAACTTCTATAATCCAAATTTTATGGTAATTCGTAAATCATTTTTTAATGATATATATAACACACAACACTATGATATATATCCAAAAATTATTTCTGTATTTAGAATCGTTATTGAATTTATTATTTTTTAAGTTGTGGCTAATGGCCCACAAAGAATTCTCAAATTACACTACACACGTAATTTTAATCAGATGTCCCGACCAAACCAGTTGGTATAGTCATATCAAAACCCCATTGCGACTTTAAAATTTGGCTTCTTCCTGCACAAAGTTGGTCTTTGTATAGGAAGCTTTTTCTTTGTGGGTTGTGTGTTTTCTACTTTTTATCTAAGTTTCTTTATCATAATTATATGATTTTGTCTGGTTTTCTATTGATAAATCATGTCAACTATTCTCAAANCGAGCATGATTGCATTGTGACTATATATCATTACAACTGAAAATTCCAAAATTTGTAATTTAATTGTTTTAATTTAATAAAAGATTTTTTTTATCTGATTTATTTTTTTCTTACTTTTTTTGGTGTTTTGATTCATTTGTTAGTTATATGTCTTGGCATGGGGGAGTTATTGCAAGAACATAATATGGATTATTACAGCTTGGGACTTTAATGTCTTCGATTGTTATATATACAATTAAATTTATGTAAAATTAATTGCAACTCAATGCATACCGTGGCCCATTAGTCACTGCTAATGAAACTTAAGTTTACGCCTGCAAAATCACCTTATTTGATAACAGTTTTGCTATGGAACCATGGGATGGCTCGACTTATATATGGAATTATCAACACTTATTCACCAATAGTGTATTGACACATGTTCTACAATAAATACAATTTGGACATGTGTCAATACATTAAGTGGTGAATGACTCTATAAGAAAACCATCCGATGGCTCCATAGATTTTTTTTATTTGATAAACTAGTTAAGTTCAAACTCGTTTAACAGTTGATTTAGTTAACAAATTGAGGTTAATTGGATTCTTTAGGGCTCGAGAAACATAAATTTTAACATAATTTGTCTGGATTACTATCTCTGCTTGATTTGTTAATTTTTTGAGTTCTGTTATTGGCTCAATTAGCTTGATAATGGTTCAAGATTTGACTCGACTCGTTTACAATTCTACTATTTATTCTTCATGTATTAAGTTCGTCGCTAAATACTTAGGTATAACGAAAATGAAAATAATTGTTTATTTAGCCTTAGAGACATTTTTTTTTTTTTTTGTTGACATTTGCTTTTACAAAAGCTACTTTTGTTTAAAGGTCTCATTCTCACTTTTTAGTTGTCAAAACTTGAAAAATATGTAAACAGATGAGGTTCTGCACCCTCTAATTATATAGGATTTCAAGCTTTTAATTAATAAGCGTGTTACAAAAAGTATAAGTAAAATAGTATGCTAGCTCATAATATTTCTAGATTAAATGTCATTTATACGAACAAAGTCAGTTTGACATTGTCCTTTCATCTATTTATCAACCAAGCTTAGTTTCAATAACTTTGAATTTTGATCAACCAATTGGATTTTGAGTCGAAATTCATTATTCCACCTTTTCAATTCAAAATCTAATGACATGATTTTAATTTTTAATTAAGTCAGATAATACCTTTTCGCTTTAGGAAAAAAAAAAAAAGTATTTGCAACCAAAATCTCACTCTTTGTATTTCAAAACCCAGGCTTGACCCGTTTCAAAGTGAATTTATTATTTTACACGTAACACGAAGTTTTTCAATTGTTAATAGTCAACCATGATCACGATCAAAAAGTCAACAAAAGGAGCGGCTGAGATATCCTAGCGCATTGAACGAGTTTGGTGATCTTCTAAGTCCAGCCTGGCTTAAATTTTATGGGACATCTAATCAAACCTGCACTGTTTGCTCACCTACCAAAATCTCTCAATAATAATAATAATAATAATAATAACTTTGTGGGATCAACCTCCCAAATAATTCTCCTAGTTCTAGAATAATTTCATGACTAATCACTTTTATGTACTTAAACAATTTTGAATAATGTTGAATTTGAAGATACACTATTTTTTCTTTAAAGTTAGATTATTTACCACTAGTTAATGCTTATGTCATACTTTAATAATATTGTTCTTAGATTTATAATATTTATAATGAGAATATAGACATTTATTGATAAATATGCATACAATTATTGAAATTTACAACTATATAAAAAAAGTTAGAACTACCTAAAAGCATCATGTTGGTATATTCATCTAGCAGTTAGATATTAATATATTATTATTGAAGAATACAGTTGTCTTAACAACTAAATTGAGCTAAAATTAACGTACTGACTGCCAATCGTGTCAGAAAATATAAATAAAGACTATTTTTTTTGTGTAAAATACAAGTATTTTCTTACTTTATAATGATATTTTTTTTTTTCATTTTTGTAACAAAATGACCACATTTAAAAGTAAGACTATTACAAGAAATTGACAAGCATTTGGATTTTACGAAATCTATGAAAGTAATTTCACCAAATAAATAATGAGGCTATATTTTATTGGACTGTGAGAAACTAATTTAAGTGTTCAGAAAATCAACTGTGGAGATGCGTATATTTTTTTTATTAATCTAATGCATATTTTCATTTTCTTTTTAATTATATGCATAAGAGACCACTCAAAACACAAAGCTAGTAAATTAAATATTTTCCTATATATAAATACAATTTTTTTTTTTCCGACTTTATGTGTCGATGGTGTATCCTATTTTTAACCCTTTATTTTGGATTAAATCATTTGAAATTTTCAACATGACGTTTTGGAAATTGGAAGCATTAGTTACACTTTGGATAATTCATTTAATGTTTTGTCCCACATCGTTCATATATGAAAAATAGACTCACTTTATAAGTCTAATGGGCTACACCTCCTTCCACCAATTGATTTTGAGATGAAACCCCACTTGGTTTCATATGGGCTTTCCCTGTCCATCATGGACAAGAAGCAATGCTAATGTTAATGAAGCACTACATTTGAAGCATGGCAATTTGTAACTCTTGAAAACTAAGCTGTAATTTAATTAATAATACATACAGTATATTTTAAATATTTTGAAAATTGGTAACAGTGATTCATAAGCAACATTGTTGAATTTTTTTTGTCCATTAATTGCAGAGTTCCAACCTGCTAAAATTAAAACATCTCATCAATTAGAGCAATAAATGTATTTGATGCTCAACTGCAATATTTGATTGATTAATTAAGTTTATTTATTACTAGGACATTTAAGCTATCTATTTGGGCAAGTAACCCTTTCTTATAAATGAAAGTTAATTGAGTATAGTTTGGTTCTACTTCTAACTTTTATTCCATTTATCATAAGAGGTAGACAGCATAATTCAATGTAATTAGAGCTATGATAAAGTACTATCTCACAATGGGGTCATTGAAGCAATACAAACTATCATAAAGTATCATTAATGGTTTTCAATCAAGTAAAAATAATCATCATTTTTATACATGATTTTCTCTATGTAAATTAAAATATGACAATAAACTTTAACAATTGCATCTACATGAAAACAAATAATAGTAATTTTTTCAAAATCCCAATGAGTGTGCTTGATAAAATTTAGCTGAAAAACTAATAAAGATTATTGTTTATAAGTAAATCATGAACTTAAAGTTGGTAGTTTATGGTTGATGGTTGAAAATTTTATATTATATAATATAATTGTTGGATAAAATTAATTGATAAATAAGTTACGAGTATTTTAATGAATTTTTTTGAAAAGTTATCTGAATATGCTTATGAGATAAGTTTTATTGTTTTTAAAATAATTGTTCTTACAAAAACTTATTTAAATATAAAAAAACTGAGCTGACTAAATAAGATTTAAACTATATTGTAAGCACACTTGTATTTGATATGATTTTAAAATAGATTGTGAACACACTCGAAATTGATAATTCGATTTTAGAAAGGATTGATATGGTCAAAATCATATTAGCTCCTCAACTCAGTTTAATTTTACATAAAATACTATGCAATAGACATCCAATAATTTAGAATCAAATACATATATTTTGATTGTAATAGTAAATGCAAGAGAAACATAAACCCTTAAAACTAATGATCTTCATCTAAGTAAAAATACGGATACAAATATAAGATATATTTTAAAATTTTAAGGATGCAAGTAAAAAAATAGGTTTCCATTTTATATACGATTATATTATAAAAAATTAAATTTTATTAGTTAATAGAAATGATCACAAATTAAATGTACATGGACCCATAAAAAAACTTGTATAATTTAATAATCATTTTCTTTTTTAAAATAAATAACTCAAGAAATATATATATATATATATATATTTTCCGAAATGATAGGAATTTTATAAAGCACAAATAAGTGCGAAAAGAAAATAACCCAAAGCTGAATGATTACAACTGAGAGCTAAAAACTGAGAGAACAGATCCGGAGATTGCCTAGAGACGCTCTAGCAATGCTAGACCAACAATATTACAACATTACTGCTAAGCTTCCTACAGGAGAATGACCGGTCCCAAAAGGATAGTGCCCGCTCCCACTCGAGCTGACAGAGGCCAACGACCCAAATAAAAAACACAAACCTAAACAACAAAGAACACAAAAAGGGGGAACAACCTAACGAAACAAAAACGAAAATCACAACCCTTCCTCAACAATAAAACCAAGCCCAACACAAAGCGCCGGTGGACCAACAGTCGACCCCACATAAAAATTTCGCTTGCCGAGGAATCGCTCTCGAAACTGCCGAAATCGCCTAACTGAAGCCAACCCCGAGTCACGAAACAAATCGGGTGCCCACCGGACCCCTGCCGAAGGAGCTCCAGCCTCGCCCCCACACCACGACTACTTCAGCCCCGTCTAACACCACTAGTCGAGGCCGCAACACTGATCCCGATCGGACCCCACACTATAATCCAAGGGGAAGAGGGATCGGAGGAAACTCCTCTGCCCCATCAGCTCCATTGCAAAACGACGCAAGCCACCTGATCCACTCCCAAATTAAATCCGATGCCACACTTCGCCATACACCACTGCTGCACCAGGGAGGCGACTGTCCAGAAGTCCCAAACTGGCATCAGAAACGGAGAAACCTGGCCGCGGATGTCCGCCCTCAACCACCGGTGTTGGGCAGATTTGGAGGGGCACGCATCGAATCTCAGACTGTGCGGCAAAGAGCCGCCCTCCGACAAAGGCACATGGTCCAACAAGGGCCAGAAGAACCTTTATTGGCAAATTTAGTGTAAAACTACTGATACCATCTGAATTAATTATCACTTTTTTAGTTATTTATTATTGTTGCATATTCATCAAACATAATTCCCAATAAAAATGTAAACTATTCTATTTTTTGTTGTATAAATATTTATATATTTAATTATCTATATAGTATACGGGTATTATACTAATACTCATACGAGTAATAGATAATAGATAATACACATACAAAAAGATAAATACACATACAAAAAGATAAATATACACATGAATAAAACCAACCCTCAAAAAAGAAAGAAAGAGATTACGCAGGCACAGAGGAGGCAAAGGTACAACTCCCCACATCGCATCACAGCTTAATATTTTCTCGTTTGCTGCAAAGCTTTTGCCTTTTTCTTCCCCATCTTTGACTCCGTCTAGTCTCTGTCTCCTTCCTTCGCTTCTCACTTCTCTCTCTCCGCCGTTACTTTCTCTCTCTACACTAACATTTTCTGCAATTGCTAGCCTCTGCCGGTGAAGGAAGTCGGCACTGCCGGGAGACACCACTTTTTACCGTCACAAGACCCAGCCAATCGCCGCCGGTCGGTGAGACGGAGGACCACTGTTTGACCTTGGATATTTTCGTGAAAGAGCCGAATTTCAGGACCTATTTTCGTTTATCCGCATAGGTTTTCAAGATCTGCTGGGAGGGGGACTCGTGGGATTTCGAGAATCGGATCTCTTATTTTT